CACACACACACACACACACACACACACACGTTTAATCCTCCTCAAAGCTAAGAAAATACAGTCGAAAGCAAATGAACTGAGCCGCTGTTCAGATTAGACTCAGATTGTTATTGTAGTGTCAGTGTTCTGTGTTTGAGTGTTTGCTCTCGGCGCGACGCTCTTCTTGTGTTTTGAAGTTAAATTTCCTTCACTCAGAATCCTGCAGCGCTAGATTGTGGTCGGGCGATTCCTCTCAGTCTGAGTGATTCTCAGCAGCACTTCATGTGTGTTTGCGCTCGTGATGATAATGTCTGCGGCTGCTTCATTATTCAGCAGATGGTTCTGGTCGAGGGTCGCAGGTAACTCAACCCTGGCAGCACAGAAAGTGACGATAAAAGCATCTGCAGACTGAATGCATGTAAATGTGAGTGTTATTGAGATCACTCAGAGCTTGAGCGCGTATGAGACGTTACCTACAGATGATGTGATATCAGATGAACTTCGCTCGTCGTCGCTCAGTGAATGTGATGCTGAGAGTGCTTCGGTGGATCGGCTGAAGCTGTGCATCGTCTGCTGTAACTCTGTTCCTGCGGCGTTTAAAAGCCTCCATTAAGAGCCAGAGAGACGGCAGCGGGATAGCAGGGTTAGGACGACTTTTTAGTGCATTTAGAAAAGATGCCTAACAAAAAAAAAAAAGTTTTTTAAAAGTTAAATAAGTGTTAGGGGAAAAAAACATTCTTAAAGTAAAGTTTAAGGAATGTTCATATAACTTTAACTGCTTTCACAGAAAATCTTTCCTTGTCACTGTTTCTGAAAGCTGACACTCAAACAGCAGAAGCACACACCAAAGCTACAAAACCAGACACTGATTCTCAGCCTTTGACTTTTTTAATTTGACAAAACACTTTTTGCTAAACACAACACGCAGTTCTCTATGTAACACACACACATCTAACAGGAATTAATATTATGGCAAAGGTGTTTGCAAATGTTTGCTTTTAAGATGTGTTTGTAGGCATTTTGCGTTTTGTGTGCAATTCTTGGATTTGTGTGTAAAGTTTTGAAAAAAGAGGCAAACTTTTGAAAATGTGTGTAAGCTGTTGAAAAAAACTGATATTTTGTCATAACGTTCAGAGAAAACGTTCATAGAACAACATTCTCAGAATGTCCTTATGATGTTATTTGCACTCGATGAACGTTCTACGAAATGTTTTTTTGTAACCTTTAAATAACATTCGAATCACAAACTGGTTCTTAGAACTTTCAAAATAAACATTCAAATAATCAGTGCTGGCTAGATTACTTTCTGATTACTTTTGATTGCTCATTTGTCACATTGATTTAAATAGGATAATCTTACATTTACATTTAGTCTTTCAGCAGACGCTTTTATCCAAAGCGACTTACAAATGAAGACAATAGAAGCAATCAAAATCAACAAAAGAGCAATGATATGCAAGTGCTATAACAAGTCTCAGTTAG